TGAAGGGCTTGCATTAAGACAAAGAAGAAAAAGAGAGGAAAACAGTCTAACAATAAAATGGCACTACACATGTATCTATCAATAATCACCTTAAATGTAAGTGGCTTAAATGCTCCAAGCAAAAGACATAGGGTGGCTGAATGAATAAGGAAACAAGACCCATATATATGCTGCCTCCAAGAGCCCATCTCAGATCAGAAGATACACACAGACTAAAGTAAAGGGTTGGAAAAAGATATTTTATGCAAATGGAAAAGAAAAAGGAGCTGGGGTAGCGTTACTTATGTCTGACAAAAATAAATTTTAAAACCAAAGCTATAGTAAGAGACAAAAAAGGCCATTACACAATGATAAAGAGAACAATCCAACAAGAGGATATAACATTTATGCATCCAACATAAGAGCACCTAAGTATGTAAAGCAAATCATGATGGACATAAAAAGAGAGATCGACAGAAATATAGCCATAATTGAGGATCTTAACACCCCATTGACTTCAATGGATAGATCTTCCAGGCAGAAAATCAACAAGGAGACAGTAGCCTTAAATGACACACTAGATCAAATGGATTTAATTGCTATCTGCAGAGCATTTCACTCCAAAGCTGCAGAATATTCATACTTTTCAAATGCACATGGAATGTTTTCTAGGATAGAACATGTGTTGGGACACAAAGGAAGTCTCAATAAATTTAAGAAGATTGAAATCATAGCATCTTCTCAGACCACAATGCTATAAAACTAGAAATAAATCACAAGAAGAACACTGAAAAACATGCAAAGACATGGAAGTTAAAGCTAAATAATGTCATTAAATGGGTCAACAACAAGACCAAGGAAGAAATCAAAAGATACCTTGAAACAAGTGAAAATGAGGACACAACAAAACAAAATCTGTGGGACACTGGCAAAGCAATCCTAAGAGGGAAATTCATAGCATTATAGACCCATCACACACACACACACACAAAAAAAAGCTCAAATAAACAATCTAACTTCGCATTTAAAGGAACCTGAAAAAGAACAACAAACAAAGCCCAAAGTAAGCAGAAGGAAGAAAATAATAAAGATCAGAGCAGAAATAAATTAAATAGCATCTTAAAAATGATGCAAAAGATCAATGAATCCAAGAGCTGGTTCTTTGAAAAGATAAACAAAATTGACATACTTTTAACCAGACTCATCAAGGAAAAAAGAGAAAGGACACAAATAAATAAAATCAGAAATGAAAGAGGAAAAATAACAACTGACACCAAAGAAATACAAAGGATTGTAAGAAAATATTATGAACAATTATATGCCAACAAACTAGACAAACTGGATGAAATGGATAAATTCCTAGAAACATATGATCTCCCAAAAATAAATCAGAGAATCTGAAGAGACAGATTACACCTAATGAAATTGAAGCAGTAATCAAAAAACTCCCAACAAATGCCCTGGTCGGTGTGGCTCAGTGGAGTGAGCACCGGACTGCGAGCCAAAGAGTCATCTAATCCGTTCCCAGTCAGGGCACATGCCTGGGTTGCAGGCCAGGTCTCCAGTAGGGGGCACTCAAGTGGCAACCACACATTGATGTTTCCCTCTCTTTCTCCCTCTCTTCCCCTCTCTAAAAATAAATAAATAAAATCTTAAAAAAACAAAAAAACTCCAACAAATGTCCTGGGCCAGATGGCTTTTTACCAGGAGAATTTTACCAAACATTCCAAGAAGAACTAACAAATCTCCTTCTCAAACTATTTTATAAAATTCAAGATGAGGGAAGGCTTCCAAACTCATTTTATGAGGCCAGCATTATCCTAATTCCAAAACCAGAAAAAGGCACTACAAAGAAAGAAAATTATAGGCCAAAATCCCTGATGAACATAGATGCTAAAATCCTCAACAAAATATTAGCAAACCAAATACAGCAATACATCAAAAAGATCATACACCATGATCAAGTGGGATTTATACCAGGAAGGTAAGTTTGGTGCAACATTCACAAATCAGTAAATGTGATTCACCACAAAAACAAAATAAATGATAAAAACCATATGATCATACTAATAGATGCAGACAAAGCTTTTGATAAAATCCAGCACCCATTTATGACCTCTCAGCAAAGTAGGAATAGAGGGAACATACCTAAACATAATAAAGGCCATATATGACAAACCCACTGCCCACATCATACTCAACGGGCAAAAACTACAAGTGTTCCCCTACGATCAGGAACAAGACGGGGATGTTCACTTTCACCTCACTTATTCAACATAATACTGGAAGTCCTAGCCAGAGCAATCAAACAAGAAGAAGAAATAAAAGACATCCAATTTGAAAAGAAAGAAGTAAAACTGTCTTTATTTGTGGATGACATGATGCAATACATAGAGAACCCCAAACATTCCACCCAGAAACTACTAGAACTGATAAATAAATTCAGCAAAGTAGCAGGATATAAAATTAATATCCAGAAATGAGTTGCATTTTACATGCCAATAACAAACTAACAGAAAGGGAAATTAAGAAAACAATCCCATTCACAATTGCTTCAAAAAGAATAAAATACCTAGGAGTAAACATAATCAAGGATATAAAATACTTGTAAAATTATAAGACACAGAAGAAAGAAATTGAAGAAGATACAAGTAAGTGGAAGCACATACATGTTCATGGATAGGAAGGATTAACATCATTAAAATGTCCATACGACCCAAAGGAATCTATAAATTCAATGCAATTCCTATCAAGATTCCAATGACATATTTCATTGAACTAGAACGAATATTTCAGAAATTTATATGGAACCACACAAGGCCCTGGCATAGTGACAGTGATCCCGAGAAAGAAGAACAAAGTTGGAGGAATCACACTACCTAACATCAAACTGTACTATAAGGCCATTGTAATCAAAACAGCATGGAACTGGCATAAAAACAGTCACATAGATCAATGGAACAGAATAGAGAGCCCAGAAATAAACCCACATCTTTATAGTCAACTAACATTTGGCAGAAGAAGCAAGCATATGGACAAAAGATAGTTTATTCAATAAATGGTGTTGTGAAAATTGGACAGATAGATGCAGAAAAAAATTAAACTAGACCACCTACTTACACCACACACAAGAATAAATTCAAAATAGATCAAAGACTTAAATGTTAGACCCAACACCATAAATTTCCTAGAAGAAAACATAGACAACAAAATCTCAGATATTGTTCACAGAGATTTTTTATCAGATATATCTCCCCAAGCAAGGGCAACAAAAGAAAAAATAAACAGGACTACATCAAACTAAAAAGATTTTGCACAGCAAAGGAAAACATCAACAAAATAAAAAGACAACCCACAGAATAGAAGAACATATTTGCTGATACATCTGATAAGAGGTTAATATCCAAAATTTATAAAGTACTTACAAAACTCAACACCAAAACAAACAAATAAACCCATTGAAAAATGGGCAAAGGACCTGAATAGACACTTCTCCAAAGAGGACATACAGATGCCCAATAAACCTGAAAAGATGCTCAACATCACTAATCATCAGAGAAATGGATATTAAAACCACAATGAGATACCATCTCACACCTGTCAGAATGGCTGTCATCAATAAATCAACAAATAACAAGCACTGGTGAGAATGTGGAGAAAGGGAAACGCTTTTGCTTTACCAGTGGGAATGCAGACTGGTGCAGACACTGTGGAAAGCAGTGTGGAGATATCTCAAAAAATTAAAAATGGATCTGCCTTTTGACCTAGCAATCCCACTTCTGGAAATACATCCAAAGGAACCCAAAACACTGATTTGAAAGAACATAAGCACCCCTATGTTCACTGAGACATTATTTACAATCACCAAGACATGGACGCAGCCCATGTGTCCATCAGTGGATGAGTGGATGGAACAACCGTGGGACATTTACACGATGAAATTCTACTTGGCCATAAAAAAGAGAAAAATTACCCTTTGTGACAGTATGAATGGACCTGGAGAGCATTATGCAAAGTGAAATAAGCCAGTCGGAGAAAAACAAATACCATATGATTTCACTCATATGTGGAATTTAATGACAAACTGAATTAACAAGCAAAACAGAGACAGACTCATAGATGGAGGGCAGATGACAGCCAGTGGAGGGGGGTAGTTAGTGGGCGGAGAGACTGAGCAAAAAGAAAAAAGGACTCCTGGACATGGACGACAGTGTGGTGATTGTTGGGGATTGGGGGGGTATAAGAGGACTAAATGGTAATGGAAAAAATACAGTAAAGATTATTTTTTTAAAAAGCCTAAGTAAAATGGAAAATATTGAATATAAAAGGAAGGCACTAAAAAATTGCTGTCAAATTAGACATGGACAAGACAACAGTGCCAGACTGAGAGGGTGAAACCATGGAACTCTGGGAAGAGTCTACACTAGGACATCTCCCCAAATGTCTTTAAGCTTCTGCTCCAATTTATATAAACAAAAACTATAAATCATTAGTGATGTAATGTGGGTGTAGCTTTGGCAGAAAGACATGTCTAATCAGTAGCCTCATCCATCAAAACTCTGGCAAGCCATGCACATTTTTATATAAGTACATAAGTTATAACTAATTCAAGATATGTAAGATATGTATTTTTATAATTCTTTTCCTTACTGGCTGTGTTTGAACCAATTTCAATCACATAAAATAAGAAGGATCCTACAATTTTATTATCATAAAAATCATCATCACTATAATCACATGGGTGAAATAGAGACTACTGGTGTCTCCATTGTGCAACTGAAAAAAATGGGCTCAAGAGACCTGCTCAGGGTGGCTCAGCAAGTACGGGGTGACTTGCCCAGGAACACATAGGGGCTAATGGGTGGGTGTTTGAGCCCAAGTCTGTCTGTGGCCGCAGCCCATGTCTTGTGCTGTTTATCAATGACCCATGGGGTGAATAGCTCTGACCACAGCCCAGAACCCCAGAGGTAATCAGTCTCTGAACCCTGCCCCTGCCCACCTTCATCCCCCCAGCTTCTTACCTTAGGGCCTGGACGTCCTGGGTAACCTGGGAGACCAGGCACCCCAAGTTTGCCCTGCAGAGAGATTATGGAACAAAGGTCAGAAATTGCAACCTTGAAGTCGGAGGGGAAAGGGCAGAGCCACTGGAGCATGAAGGAAGGAGCAGCAGGATGAGATTCAGGCAAACATGGCTTCAGGTCCTGGCTCCTGCCTGGTAGGGGCCTGTCCTCAGGCAGCTCAGTCAACCACTCCCAAAATCTCCGTTTCCTTGTCTATAAAATGGGGATTAAAATGCCCATTGCACATGGTTGTTATGGAAATAAAAATCAGATAACGTGCAAGGAATTGCTCGGTATTGCTAAGCTGAGGAATTAAAGGAAATCACTAGGAGGGCCACAGTCTCCTGAGGTTGGAGAAAGAAAGGCAGAGAGCAGAAGGCAAAAGGTCAGGAGATACTGTAACCACAGAATGAGAAGCTGGAGAGCAGACTGGAGGGAGTGGTTAAGGCCCACTCACCTTCTCCCCAGCTGAGCCTGGGGGCCCCTCCTCACCAGGCAGCCCCTCCTGCCCTTTAAGCCCTTCAGGACCATCCTCTCCCCGGGGACCTGGTGGTCCAGGGGGTCCCTGGAATAGAAAGAAGAGGCCCTGATGTCAGTCCCTTTTTGACTATTGCTCCCTCCAGCCCCCTGTCTTAGCCCCAACTCACCCCCTCCTGTCTTCCCCAAGTCCCCCAAACCCACAAGATCCATTATCTGGAGATCAGCTTACCCAATCGCCTTTAAGCCCCCCGTCACCCTTGAAGCCTGCAAAGCCATCCTCTCCCTGAATGGGAGAGAGTACAGAGGCCAGAGGTCAGGGTTTCAGGGAAAGGACACAGGCAGAGCCCCATTATTATGGCATTATGGCTCCCCCACCAAGGAATCCTCTCCCTTCTCACCTTCTCGCCTTTCTCCCCCTGAAGGCCTCGGTTGCCAGAGGTACCCTGAAAAATAAATTTAAAAAAAGCTCTCAGGTCCTTCCCCTGTTTAAGAAGGGCCCCCAACTCAGTTCCCTGCCCTAAAAGAGCCAGGACAGTCCCAAGATGTTGGACTGCAGTGGGGTGGGGGCAGCCTCAGAGGGAATGATCTTCCCCAAAGCCCACTAGCATGGTGTGCAAGAAGCTGCCTCTCTCCCGCCCCTTCTCCCTGGCAGCCTTCCAAGGTCATCTGTGTGGGGATGTGCAGGGAAGGCCAAATTTCCAAGTAATTAATTCCCATCTCCTGGGGACACTGTGTCCACATTTCCTTCTGGCAGGGGAAGGAGGATGAACATTCCAGGCCCCAGCTTCACTCTAGAGCACAGGAATGTTCCCTGTTTTACTGGCTACAATGTGACTCTGTGCCTAGCAACAAGGCAAGTCTGTGCTTGGCTACAGTGAGTTGCTCAGTGCAAGCCCAGATGCTGCTCACACCAGACTCTGGGCTTGGGCCCCAAGGAAAGCTGCACTTGGCTACAGCGTAACCCAGCTCAGAGACTACAATGAATTACACTAGGATACTGTCTAATTATGTGTTTTGACAATAGCATGACTGTCTCTAGCCACAGGGAGACACAATGTAACTGAGCACAGTGACTACAAAGAAACTGGATACAATCTACTATGTGTTTTGGCCATAGCATGACCTCCAGGCACGGGGTCACTTGACCACCATGTAACTGAGTTTGGTTGGCCACAACTGTTCTCTGGCCTTAGCTACAATGTAACTAGATTCAGTGATAACTGTTTCAGCTATATATAACTATGCCTGGCTACTCTGAGTTTAGCCACCCACTGGACTCTGGCCTGTCATAATATAGCCCCCTCCCTGGTTACAGTGTAACTAAGCTTGTGTACAATGCAAAAATGTGAAGAACGTCCCCTGGCTACCACCAAACTCTGTTCCTAGATCACAAGTAACAGTACCTGTACTTGGCTACAATGTAATTAGACTTAGCTACCAAATAGATGTGAATTCTGTTGTCCCTGCCCTTGGTCAACAGTGCACTTCTGTTTAGCCACAGTGCAACCCTCAGCTTGTCCCCACACTGTTGTGCTTGCAGATTGCATGACTCTGGGCTTGAGCTTTAAAACAACCCTCTGCTGACGTGGACTTAGATGTGGCATAGGTACTACAGTGAGCAGGGCTCAGCTTCAAATGGACTCAGGTGTTCTCAACTACAAGGTGATGACTACACTGTAAGGCTGTCCTTTGGCTGTTCAGCTCCAAGGCAACACACATACTTCTCTGTGTGGTCGCTCAGACCCAAACCCCACTGCCAGTACACTGGCAGACTGATCCCTCTCACCACACATGCAGATGTTTCTGAGGGAACAGCCTCCCCGAAACCAATGCTAATGAATCACCCCTACCTGCAGGGCCCATGTATCACCTACCTTCACACCCCGAGGTCCAGGATATCCCGGAGGGCCTGCCGACCCTGGTGGACCCTAAGATGAAGACAATATTAGTGCTGTCCTGTCCCCTCCCCTTCCTTGTTCTCATTGCTCTCGTCTCTCCCCTCATTAGCCCCTGACTCCTGGTCCCGCCTACCACCTCTTGTCCCCAACGCAGCCTCTCTCCAGCTCACTTACCTGGGCTCCTTTCTCTCCTGTGGGGCCCTCGTGGCCTGGATGACCCTAGGGGGGAAATAGTCTAAATTGTCAGAGACCTACATTTACCACCCAAATTCCCAAGCTTCCCCTTTCTTCTTCCTTCCTCTTTCAGCACCCAGGTCCTACCGGAGGGCCATCAGATCCTGTGAGGCCTGGAATTCCTGGGTGTCCAGGGAGACCCTGAAAGATAATGAACATCAGGAAGAGACAGAGGATCTCAGAGCCTGGCATCCCATCAGGAACAGCCCTACTCAGACATGCAGCTGCATCAAGGTTCCAGAACAAGCAGATCCCCGGGGTCAGGAAACCTAACCCCAGCTCTGCCCAGACTTGCTTTGTGACCCTGGCTAAGCCCCCTCCCCTCCCGGAGCCTCAGAAATCCTCTGCCACTGTGCAGGTTGAGACAAGGGGTGGAAAAAATGCTGTGAGAGACATGTTGAAGTGGGGGGCCCCTAAGCACGCCCCTTTCTTTAGAAGTATCTCCCACCCACAGCTTCATCTGAAGAGGGGCAGGCCTTGGTAAACAGGAGGTGGCCCCTATGTCCTGCCAATGGTTAACAGGTCACTTCCCATGTCCTGCAGAGGCAGGTAACTTGGCCCAGCTAAGCCAATCAGATTCTCTCCTGAAATTTACCTGATAGAAACTAGGACCAGCTCAATTGGGGTAAAGAAACCGAACGGTAATGAGCAACTGTGGGCTGAAATGGCAACAAAGCAGCTCAGGGTCGTGTGGAAATGAAAGCTGAGTACAGACACACTAACTATGAATAGAATGAGGCCTGATTGCAGAGGAGACGGGAACAAGTGCAGAGGGGAAGCTGAACCGCAGGACCCCAGAGAGAAGGGCTTTCCTGGCCCTGGAGCCCTGGTAACATTGTCTGTGACTGGCTTCTGAGGCCCCCCTGTATCCTGACAATATCCCCTCATGTGATCTGGCTTTGGCAGCTTTCAATTTCTCCCAACCTACTCTTACCCAGCAAGGACACTTTGTTTAGGGAATACTGCAAGTTATCATTATCCAGAGCTGACCAAAGGGCCCTGATGGGAAGATTTTCCTGCAGACCAAATTGGAACAACACATGGTTGGGGGGTGGGGTGCACAGACAGAGCTGCAACTCACCTTCTCCCCAGGAATGCCAATGGGTCCCTGGGGGCCAGGGATTCCCTGGGGACACAAAACAAGAGGGTAAAAAAAGGCATGAGAAAGGGTGGTGAGTGCTGCAGTTGGGGAGGCTGGGGGTGGTCTATGACCTTGGCTGACCATCACCACCCCCACGTTATTGGGAAATACAGCTCAAACCTGAGACCCAGGATTTCCCTGCTGTCCTGGGGGGCCTGGTTCTCCTGGAGGACCCTGGGGAGAAAGTGGGGGCGTCATGAGGCTGGGAGGCGTCATGGTGTTGAGGTGTCTGTGAAGCTGATGTAGGGGGCAGGTGATAGAAGTAGACAGGGATGTGGATGGTCATGGGGTGGGAGTGTCAGAGAGCATCAGGGTCGGGGGCAGAACACGTACCACGTTCCCTTTGGCACCTGGAGCACCATCGATGCCGACTGCACCCTGGGGGAGGAGAAACTGTGAGACCAGGGCAGACATACACACAGGAGCCTGGGTCTGAGATGCTGCAAGGTGCAGGGGGAAAGGTGGGTGCACAGAAAAGCAACCAGGCAGCAGTGCTAGACATGGAGAGGAAGGTGAGAAGACAGACGGGGACGCAGAGAGACGTCTCACCGGGCTTCCCAGGGGGCCAGGGGAGCCTCTAGGGCCGATCAGTCCTCGGGGACCCTGCAAGGAAGTAGGAATGTTATTCTCTCCTCACTCACTGCTCTGCGCCCCGTGAGTCCTGACTTCCGCCCCCTGCACCAGGAAGGAATCCCCTGACACTCACCGGCTCTCCCGCCTGGCCAGTGGGCCCTGGAGGTCCCTCTGCTCCCTGTAGGAAAGCATCATCAGTTGGGGAGGGGGGAGGTAGGACCCATGCAGAACCCCTTTCCTCATGTGGGCAGCCCTTTCCAGGGGATGCCAGGGTCAGGGCATGCATCGGGGTCCAGCTGGCTGAGCACATGAGATTCGATTCAGGCCCCCAGCCCCAAATCTGGACCACCCACCTTGAGTCTCACCCCCTAACGCCAACGCTAGCCCTCAGCTCTCTGTCTGCTTTTCTGAGCCTCACTGGGGCCTCCTGGCCTCCAGTGCAGACCCTCGCCCCTCATCTTGTCCCCGAATACTCTGCTTCTCTCTGACTCTCTTCTGGCTTCCAGCCCAAACCGTCTCCTAACTTACGTCTGAACTTACCTTCTCACCATCTTCTCCCGGAGGACCAGGTTGCCCCGTATGGCCAAAGTCACCCTGGGGTGCGGAGCAGAAGGGAGGTCAGTGTGGAAAGGTGAGGGTGGAGACCAGACCCCCAGGAAGGGAGATGGGACCTGAAGGGTGATGCCTCAGACGCAGGAATGGAGGCTCTGGGGCTGGGGCGGAGGATGGCGGGGAGGGGGCTCTGGCAGCAGAGAGGGATCTCACACGCTCACCTGTTGGCCCTTCTCGCCAGGCAGCCCTGGAAGGCCGTCAAAGCCCCTGTCACCCTGCACAAAGAGACAGTAGCTGAGCCTTGAATCCTTGACCTTGGCATTTCCTCAGGTTTCAGTCCAGGCCCCATCACCTACCTTCGGTCCTGTGTCTCCTGGGAGGCCCCGAGCCCCATCTGCTCCAGAGCGTCCCTGCGGATATGGGACATTATCAAGGCAGCTACTGCCATTTATTGAGCCCCTTCCTCATGCAGAGTCCTGTGCTGGGAACTTCCATGTGTACCCATTTAACCTCCCAAATATACCTCGAACCCATCCACTACTCTTTATAACCATTGCCCCTTCTCTAGTCCGAGTCACCGTCGTCACAAAAGTTAGGAACCCTCATCTTCCGTCTCCATTAACTGCCCTGCTGTGCATTTCTCGTGGCACGTGAACCTCTCTGGAGTCACCGTGTTCATTTCCCCCGAGGTGCCGGGCTTGTCCTCTTGCACATGCTGTTCCTCCTACAGGAATGCCCTTCCTCTCCCCTTGACCTGGTTCTGCCTCAGATCCCAGCTCGAGCCTCATTTCCTCGGCAAGTCTTCCCTGGCTCTGTCACCTGGCCAGGTCCTTTGGTCCCACACTCAGTGGAGCCGCCACTCTGGGTCCTCTACCCTTACCCCACCAAGGACACCAACAGGCCCTGGGAGCAGAAAGCTGAGGCTCGTACTGGGTGTTGAGCGGTGGATAAAAGACGACCCGAGGACCCAGGAGTCACTCACCATCTTGCCCTGTCGGCCAGGAGGCCCAACAGGTCCCTGAAGGCCTCGGGGACCCTAGAAGAGAAAGAGAAGAGAATGGAAAGAGGAATACAAAGGAGGAAGGACTTATTGTCAATCGTTCCCTTGCAAGGGCCGTAATTGCAAAGCTATCCCCAGCCCCTTTGTCATCTTCCCCAACTCCACACTTCACCCTTTGGCCCTAGGGGAAGACCCTTCCCCTGCAATCCTGTCCCCATTCCCACCAATCTCACCTGTGGCCCCATTTCTCCCATCTCTCCTTTCAGGCCTGGATACCCAGGGAGACCCTTGGGAGAAGAGATGTGATAATATGGTTAGAGTAGGTTCCCCCTCTCCACTGATGTGTCTCCCTCCTCCATGCAGCCTCTTTACTCACCACGGGGCCTGGGCGCCCAGTGAGCCCTACCGGGCCAGGGGGGCCTTTCATAGAGAGCTGGAAAGACAGAGGGCAGCAGAGCCTCAGAGCCCCCACAGGACTCTAACACCCCCACCCGCCAGGGGGATCCGCAGGAGACAAACATCTATCCGTCTCCTGACTAGCCCTTCATTACCCCCCATCTGTGCCACCTTGTCAAGGTCCTCCCATCACCCCCCATCAATCCCCTGATGGTCCACACACCTGAGCCTGTTGCAGTATTGCCTGAGCCTGTGCCTGCTGGAAGGAGACTGGGGGTCCTTTGAGGGAGCCGCTTGCATACTGGAACTAGCAGGCAACTGGCAGTGAGGGAGGCCCAGAAAAGAGGCTCCACCCATGCCCCACAGCTGTGCCCCCCTGTCTCCTCCTTACCGGCATCATGATCACAGTGCCCGGCAGGCCCCGGACTCCGTCGATGCCAGGGATGCCTGGGAGGCCAGCGGGGCCCTGCGGGAGGGAGGCACACGGAGAGGCAGAAAGGGGTGGGGAGAGAGGCGGGAGAGAGAGAGGGAGAGGAGAAATGGAGAGACGGAGGTGGGGAGAAAGGGCAAGAAAGTAGGCAAAACAGACAGAGAGATGGAGGAAGGGAGAGTCAGAACAAGTGGTGGAGGCAGACACAGAGAGAGAGCCAGACAAACAAGAGAGAGAAAGAAACAGAGACGTAGGGAGAAAAACAGAGATAAAAGACACTCAGAGACAGAGACAGGCGCAGGGAGAAACGCAGGAGACAGAACCCCAGGGACAGAAGGGGAGCCAGAGCCGGAGTGACCATTCACAGATGGGGAGAGAGGAGCAGGAGGGTCAGCCCCAGCTCCAGGCTGCTGTCCCCAGTCCCAGCCCCTCAGTCCCATGTTCAGGCATCCAGGCTCCAAGCCTCAGCTCCGCAGCCTGACACCTCATTCCCTGAGATGGATATACCCTGGGGGAGCCTCTTACCGGTGGACCGGGGTCCCCAAGGAATCCTGGGGGTCCAGGAGGGCCTGAGGGGCCGACCACCCCCTGTTGTGGACAGAGGAACAGAGGTCATGAGAAGTGCAATGTGTGAATCCGGCTGACTTCTGACCCACCACTGACCCTGACCCCATGCTGACCTCCCCACCCCACCACCAAGATGTCCCTGGCCCCCTAACACTATACTAACTCACATCCATCGCCTTTACACTCCAGTCTCTATTTTGACATCCTTTGAGTTTCAAATGTCCAGTAGTTTTCGAATGGCCTGGCAGTATTACATCCCAAATCCTCACCCCAGGGGCTCAAAAACCCCAACTGGAAGATAAAGGCAGGAAGAGGGGAATGCAGCCATGACTTACCCGGGGCCCTGGGGCTCCTGGAGGTCCCTCAAACTGCTGTCCCTGAAGGAGAAATGAGTGTGACCCCCGGTCTAGCCCCGGTTCCACCACTTTCTCCAGCCCCAGGCCACTCACCTCTTCAATCACTGCAGGTTCTCCTTTCTCTCCCTTCTCTCCAGCGCCCTGGGATGGGGGTGGAGAGAAAAGAGGTGTGACCCCTAGACCTCAGACGAAGGACTCCCAGCTAACCAACCTCACACTCAACACATACACATGCATGCACACGCGTGTGCAGAGTCCATTCTCCGAGCTGCCTCTGCCATGCTTTCTTTAACCAGTTGAAGCAGCTCAGCTTCATGCTGAGCTGCTAGCTGCTAGCTGGCCATGCTGCATCGAGGGGAAGGGCACAGACCCTAGAGTCTGCTGTGTGGCCCTAATCCTGGGGCTGTCTCTCACTGGCTGAGAAACGGTCGGCTGCTTATTCATTCACCTGCTATGGCATCCCTGCACAGTCTGTAGGTGAATGATGGCTGTGTGTCTCCCATGAAAACATGAACAAGATAAAACAATGTTTGGCACACTACAGGCACTCAGGATATGCTAATAAGAATTTTTCACCTCCACCCTATCCAATACCGAGGCTAGAACCTGGGTCTCCTTCTCTGTCTGCATTATTTTCCTAGGCAATTTCATCGAATTCCTTGGTTTAAAATAGCAGCTCTCTGTCAATCAGTCCCAGGTCTTTATCTCCAGCCTAAAGCGTGTCTCTCGAATTTCAGAATCTTCTAACCAACCACCCACTTAACATCTCCATTTGGATGCCAAACAGGGGTTGCCAATTTATCACACGTGAAATGAGATCCTTGGCACTTTCCACCTGCTCCTCCCCCAGGCTTCCCCATCTCAGTCAACGGTCCCGTCAGGAATCTACCCAGTCATCCTTACATCTTTCTCCACCTCTGGCAGCAAGACCAAAATGGAGCACAGTGCAAATCTCTCCACTTGTTTCTATCCCCACCTCCACTGCCCTCCTCCAGGTCACCACCCTCTGCTGCTGCTGAGACTGCCGGTTTCCCTGCTGCCTCTCTGGTTCCCCCTATGGTTCATAGGCTGTTCAGCAGCCAGAAGGAGCTTTCAAAGCTCAGACGCGGATCTTGCTCCATCTCCAGCCGTTTCTCCTCATGCTTAGACTAAATGTTGAATGAATCGCCCTACCCAGACAGCCATCTATTAGCACAATGCCTGTCACAGTGCAGTCTCTGTCGATAAATATCTGTCAACTGGGTTGGAGTGGTGGGAAGGCATTCTAGGCAAGATAAAAAAGAAGGCAAGAGAGGGAATGCAACCATGTGTGGCCCCCCTGTGCCTAACCCACCCACCCAGACTCACAGGAAAGATCTGGAACTGAGCTCGTGATGACTGTTCTGCTGCCCGGAAGTCCGGGCCCATGGTGGGGCCACCTCCTTCTTCATCTTCTCTGGCTAACTCTGTCTCCAGGGTCCCCAGTTCAGCTCCACTGTCAGGGTCCAGCCCTCCCTGAGGACATGAGGACAGACCAAGGTTTGCCCCTGACCTCCTCATCATCTGCCTCCACCACTGCCCAGGGACCTTCCCTTCCAGCCCCTCTAAGTCCCCACTGACCTCCAGGGTGGTGACGTTTTGACCAACAGTCACAGTGGTGGTGATGACCAGGGGCGTGGGCGTTGGAGGGGGAGTTGGAGATGCTGTCTCCATCTTGGGGATGTCCGTGGAGGTCTGGAGAAGGGACAAGACAGTATCAGGTTTAGGGTCAGACCAGTTAAGGCAAAAAGGAGGCAAAGGAGAAGATAGGCCCCACCCCACCCCCACCCATCCTTAGCACTCACTCTGGGGAAAGGGCCATGGGAGGATTCCCAGAAAACAAGAGGATTGTTGGGTAGGGGGCTGGCCACTGGAGGCAAAGGATTGCAGGCTGGACCAGGACAGCCAGCAGGGGGAGCCCTCATGTGTGGAGGAGGAGTAGGACTGAGCCAGGTCTGGGAAGCCTGGAAGACTGACCAGAGCCCTTCGGTCAGGTTCAAGGTCCAGCACTCAGGGCCAGACTCCCGGAAACCTATCCCACATGTCCTCTCCAAAGGCAAGCTCCACAGTCACCCAGCCAGGTCACAATAAGTGAGGGAATGGCAGCTCCTCCTAGCCTGGACAGCTGCAGAGGGACTGGGTCAAGGGCATGAAGGAGACAGTGGGGGCCCAGGTAAGGGGCTGGGCTGAGGAAGGGGCTGAGGAGGGCAGGCTACTCATGGTGTCCCTGTTCTGGGCCTGGAGTAATAACCTCTTTCTCCACACTAATACTGAGGGCAGATGTAGTACACCAGTGACCCTACCCTAAACAAAGACCCCAGCCAATGGCCTTTACCAAGGATCACTAAGGACCCCTGCCTGGTGACCCACCAGCTAATGACTCCCATCAATGACCCCTGACTGGTGATCCCCACCCAGACACCTAACCAATGATCCCCAACAATAACCTACATCACTGGCCCCCCACGGTTATTCCTATAACCAGTGACCCATCAGTGCACCCTCTCAGTTAGTGACCCCATCAACAGCTGCAGCCAGTTACTCTTCCACCCAGTGACCTCCTCAGTGAACAACCCCAAGCAGTGTCACCCCCACAATAAGCACTAACTAGTGACCCCCCAATTAATAAACCCCACCAGCGATCCCTAATCAATTATTTCCCAGCCAGTGGTTCTCCAACAATGAACACCCATGAGGGAGCCTGGCTAGTGCGTCCCAAACTGTGACCCCAACACCAAACAACGATGCCACCCACCCATAACTCATCCATGAATTCCCAAAGAAAAACCCACTGGGGAACTAATTACTTCATCCATGATCTCCTGAAAGTCACTTCTCCAATTGGTGCCTACCAGCCAGTAATCCTTCATGGGTGACCTCCTTGAGTAATGACCCCCAGCAATGACCCCACACCCACAACCTCTAAACTAGTGACACTCATAACACCAACAGTGGCCTCCAACAGGGACACCCAACACTGACCTCAAGTAATACCTATAGCGACCCACACAACCAGCTCTCTCTATCAGGGAGGTCAGATAGTGCCCCTCACTTCAAATAATGACCCCCCAATAAGTAACCCTCACCAATGGCCCCAACCAGTCAACCCCAAGCAGTGGCACACTAACCAAGGGACCACCATTCACCCCAGCTGCCCTCACACAGTACCCTCATCATAAACCCTCTAACAACGGGTGCTCATCTGGGTGTGCCCCACCATCCAGCCCCCCAGGACTTGGAGGCAGAGGCAGAAGAGCTCATAAGACAGGACCAGACCTCCTGCCTGCCCCCAGTCATCAGGCAGCTAAAAGAAATCAAAAGGCAGGGGTTGGACACTAGGAGCAGAGTCCTTCAACGAGGTGCCAGTTGTCAGTGGGAATCAGAGAGCAGAAGCCGGGCAGTCAAAGATCAGAGGTGAGAGGTCATAAGTCCCTTACCTGGTTCTCCAGAGAGCCAAGAGATGGAGCCAGGGTCAAGGTCTCCTTGTTCTTCTTCTTCCTGCCCTTCCCCTTATGACCACGCCCTTTTTTCTTCCCCTTTCCCTTCCTCTTTCGGTGAGGGGGTGGGGTTTCTGGCTCACCCTGGGGGACCTGGGAAGAGGCACCCGGTCAGGTCCAGAGGCCCTCTGTGGGGGCCTCATCACTCAGGTCACCTGGGACTATGTTGGCACGTGGCCCATTGACCCTATGTTTTAAAGCCAAAGCTCACTCAGCCTTATGACCCTAGGTCAAGGTCACTCATGCCTAGGATCTGTGTGAAGGCAGGAGTCACTCAGGCCCATGGATGGGGCTCAGAATTCACTCATTCTTGAGACCTGGAGCCAGCAGTGACTCAGCCTGTGACCTCAGGACAAGCCTCTCACTCACCCCAGTGGCTGTCGGGTCCAGGTGGTCACAGCCAGGAAGGTACTGCTCACAGGCCTGGAAGGCAGCCTGAGGGTCTGGGCTTATCAGCAGCTCCTGAATGTCTCCCTGGAGAGAGGGTGGAAGACGGGAAGGGAGCCGCAGGCTGACTCTGACCCCCATTCCAAGCACTGAGGCCTGGTGCTTCTTCACCCAGAGAACCCTAAGTATAAGGAAGGGGATGGCCACACCACAACCCCATGGTGGGAGGGCAGGTTCTGCCCCTTAAAACTGAGAGGAGAAAGATTCTATCAGGGTCGCAGCAAATCACAACTGCAAACCACACCCCCCAACATCTATGCCATCAGAGGCTCTCAGATACATGGTGACACCTACTATGTGCCAGGTGGTCTTCAAGGTGCTGAGGACAAGATGGACAACAAGATGGATGAGGCCGCTGGCCTCCTGGAGGTGGCACACAGTGCAGTCACCCGCTGCAGCCACCACACCAAAGACAGGTCTGTTCCATGCTGCCAGCGCCCAGCATGACAACCACTTTGCACACAGTCACACACCACCACCACTGCTGTGGTGCAGCCGTGCACCACACCCTCATCCTCCTGCCACAAGCCAAGTACGTGCCATCACACAGGATCCTCCTGTGGCTCTGGAGTCTCGCAGTCCCACACCGCACACATGCATGATGATCCATGGGCCCCCTCCTCCCAGCTCCCTGGCAGCAAGCAGGACCTCCCCCTTCTCCAATCTCTTCTCCAGAGGCCAGGCTGTGGATAAAACTTCCACCCGCCCTCTGCCTCAGTTTCCCTGATCACTGAACCCCTACCTCGAAACTCTCCTCCCCGAGATCCTGGGTCCCCAGCACAATGAGTCCACCTGTGCTGATGAATCGAGGCCCCTGACCCAACACAGGGGGCTGAGGGTCACAGTCAGCCACCAGAGTCACCACGCTGCCGTCCACACTGACTGCCACACGGTGCCATCTACAGGGAGAAGTCTCAATGAGGGGTGCTCCTCACCCACGCCTCTTAGGACCCTCGCCCTCCCTTACTCACCTGCCATCTGTGAGGTTGACCTGATGGGGGAGGGGTCTAAAGGGCCCACCTAAGAGGTCCAGAGCTGGCCCCAGCGCCAGGCCCAACTGCCGGGCACCACCCTCATCATAAACGGACAGAAGGATAGAGTGGTTGGCTGGTTGGGCCCGAAGAGTGATCAGCACAGAGAAGTTCTCAGGAAAGTGTCCATCTGATAGGGGGGTCAGAGGGAAAGGGACAGCTCAGATGACCTGGCAGTGACCCATGCTCCCAGGATGACCCGCAGCCCCTCCCACACCGACCTACCTGGAAAGAGTTCCCACGTGGGGGCACCTAGTGTGCTGGCCTTGCCCACTCTGAATGCCCGGTCGCCCTCTGGAGCCCTCTGGGGGCAGAAGCCAGGCACCTCAGGGACCCCAGCCTGGCCCCCCCGCACACCCAGCACCTTCAGCACATCCACAGGGTCTGCTGCAGAAAGAAGCCGGGGTGCAAGGCAGTCAAAACAAGCTCAGGACTCCAGGTGAGTGGCTCAGGTTTGGAGACTCAGCTCCCCCCACACACACACTGTGTTTGTGGGTCAGGGAGAGGGAGCCGGTCGGGACCCTCACCCCCCTCACCACCCCACAGCTGTTCCGGCCTCATCAGCCTGTTGACTCCTGTTTTGTTGTGTTTTTTCCCCTTGGTTTTGGTGAGAGAAAAATACTCTGACCTAGTTCTGGGATGAATAAAAGCTTCCTGGCCTGAGCCCCAGAGCCAGACCATCCCCCTCTCTGCACTCCCCCGCACCAACTCCCTGGGGCCGCTTCTCAGGCCTGAAGCCCCCTGCCAGGGGGAACACACTCAGAGAGGATCCCTTGGCTCCTTGGGTATCTTTCCCCACCTCCTCCCTCTGACCTCTCCCTTCGACCCCCGTGCCTGTAAACTGTCCCTTCTGACCACTACCTCCCCTCGCTGCTTCCTTCTGACTTCCACTTTGGCCACCGCCACCCATGATCTCCTCCCTGTGACTGCTGCCACTTCAGCTCTCCCCCTCTGACTACTCTCTCTGGCCATCCCCCTGACCTCCTCTGCCTATCCCAGTCTCCCACATCTGACCTGTGACCTCCCCATTTTATCTCCCTCTTTGGTTTCTCTATGTCCACCTCTCGCTGATAACCTCCTGATCTCCCTCTGGCCCACTCCCTCTCATCCCAGCAAAGGAAGGGACTGGTCTGGCCCAACCAGATGCTAATCCAAGCAGTCCTACCAGCCCCACCCCATGCAGCCCAGGCTGGCCAGCTCTAAGTGGAACCACATGGCTTGGGCAGGGGTGGGTGGGAGCTACCCCTGGGCCCAAAGCCCCTGCCTGGTCTCCCCTCTTTTCTGCCACCCTCCCCCCAGCAGACGTCGCACTGACCCCCTGACCCAGCAGCCTCTTGGCAGGCGCTATATTCTACTGGATCTGCCCATGACCTCACCCTGGGGGCGGCTCTGCTGACCTCACTGCTGGAAGTTGGGGTCGGGGGCCAGACTTGGGGGAGATAGGGGCTTGCATGAGGAACCCCATCCCAGCTCCCGCTGGGTCAGACTCTTCCTTCTCCAGACTCTGTTTAGCCCGTTTCAGCCTCAGCTCCCTCCTGCCCCCAACCTCCTTCTGCTCTTTCTTTTCTTCCTTCTCTCCCCTGCCCCACCCTCTCTGTGTCCCACTTTCTGTCTCGGTCTTTCCAGGTCTCTCTCCATGTCCAGCTCTGAATCAGTCTCCCTCTCCCTCTTCCCCTCCCCCTTCCCTCTCTCCCCGTCTCTCTGCCTCTTGATATTTTATTTGTTCTCCTGTCTGCCTCTCTGAATGTCTCTGTCTCAGTGCCTTTCTGTCTTCTGTGAACTGCTCTTTCCATTCCTCTCTCTTTCTCTCTCCCTCTCCCTTCCCCCCCCCCCCGCCCCCTCAACCCTGCCGCCATCACCAACCCTATCTCTAATTGCCTGCTCTGTGGCTGGGCTGTCATTAAGAGGTATTTGGGTTACAGACCCTTGGGGCTAAGATCTGGGCTCCCAGGCTCTGCTAACCACAAGGGTCACTCCCTTGTGGAATGATCATCCCAGCTGCCCCCCTCCAGGCTGGGACCCAGGGGAGGGCCGAGATCCACAACCCCACCCAGTGTGGCTCTCCCAGTCTCTCCCCTCATCCAGGCCCCAGTCTCCTCAGTGGGAAAAACCTATTGACCAACAGTGCATTCACGTTTAAAAAGTCCTCCCAGCCCTGGCAGCCCAGCTCAGCTGGTTACAGCGATGTCCCAAGGTTGCAGGCTCAATTCTCAGTCAGGGCACATACAAGAAGCAAACAATGAAGGCATAAATAAGTGGAACAACAAATCGCACTCTCTCTCTCTCAAATCAATAAATTTTTAAAAAGTCCTTCCCATTATCTAACCCAAATGTCTTTTACTTCAATCTTGCAGCCCTTCTTAAATGACCTTTCAAAAACTGACTGCCCTTTCTTTTCATGGCTGGCTTTGTGACAAGGAGACACACAAGAGGCATTGAGTCTTGCCTGCAGGGTCAGGAGGTGCGGGTTTGTCAAGGGCCCAGCCCACCCTTCCCCTACAGACTCTCCCCTGCGGAGGTCAGGGCCCAGGGAGACACTGGGTGGGGCCTAGGCCATGGAGGGAGGCAGGCAGAGACCAGGCTACAACCCGGCTGGGCTACCCCCAGAAGTGCAAGAGAGCAGAGGTGTGAGTATCTGTGCAAGCATGTGCATGTACTACTGTGCACATGCATGAGACTGTGCATGTAGCCCATATGTGACTTCAGATGAACCAGAGAGTGTCTAAGAGTGTGACCTGTGGTGTGTCAATGTGTGTATTTGGCCGATGTGGAAAGACTGGGTTCAGTTCTTTGACTCGTGGCTATGTGTCCATGAGAGCCGGGTCCTGGCAGTGAGGTCACACAGGTGAGTCTGGATTGCAATAGCTGAGGCTGGAGCTGGGGGCAATGCGGTAATATGTGAACGCTGGCCAAGTCAGCCAGTGGGTGGCTGGTTGTGAATGTTGACAGTGCTGTACGAATGCCAGTGGAAGCATATGTGAGAGTTTGGAAGTGTGGGAGGGTGACAAAAGCTGTGACCGTGTGGCGGGTGGCTGATGGGGCCGTCTGGGCGTGGGCACCGGTGTTGAACATTCCCAGTGTCCCAGGGGCTCATATTCTGATTAATTGCCTGAGACTGAACGACTGTGTAATGTGTGAGCGTGGGAATGGGGCATAGGCCAATCTGGGATTACCCACGTGAGCAAGCACCTCCCTGGATTTCAGAGAAAGTGAGAAAGTGGTGAGTGTGTGTGTGTGTGTGTGTGTGTGTGTGTGCGTGCGCGCGCGCGCACGCGCGCCTGTCGGGGGCGCTGAGCTTACCTGAGGGAGGGATTTCCAACAGGGCCTGGCCTGGGATCTCTCAGACCAGGGAAGCCCTCTCGACCACCACTTGAGGGACCATAATCTTCCCAAACCCAAACCCCGGGTGCCCAGCACCCGGAACCCTGCGGGGCGGGCGCGGCATCCAGCCAGATGCGCGCAGCTGGGCGTGCGTCAGCGCTGACTCACCCGTCCGACGGCCCCCGGGACCCCTGGGGGGACTCCTGAGAAATTCCTCGGGAAAAACGCCCCATGCTCGCTCAGCTGGGGTGGGGAGCAATTTCCACTCAAGCCCCCGCCCGCCCTCCGCCCCGCCTCGCCCCGCCCACGCCCCGCCCCGCCTCGCCCCTCACCGAGGCCCTCCCGAGGCCCTGTCCATGGTGCTGATCCCAGTTCTGGGGAGCGCGGCGAGGGGGGAGGGGGGAGGAGGTTGGGGAGAGGAGGTGGTCGCACAACTATTGGGAGGAGAGGAGGTAGAGGGAGAGTAGAGTAAAGCCATTTGGGGAGACTCAAAGGTAAGTGTGATCTCCGATTAGATTAGCCCTCTCCCATACCACCCCACTCACCATTGCGTCCTCACTGGCAATTATTTACGCCCCCAAATCACCACTGCATCCCTCATAGGGTCACCCAGAAACGCACTATCGTAAGGCGGAACACATGGTTCTTCTCAAAATCCACCCTCCACACACACACACAGACACACCTGAACTTCTACAACTGACAATCACACACTTGGGGATCAACCCGTCACCCATATCCGTGCAACCATGGCCAATTTTCACACTCAGGCACCCACAAAGTTTTACTCCAAATGTCCAGACACACATCACTGCACGCGCGCGCGCGCACCTATAAACAGCATCCATTCCCCTGCACCGAGCAGTAGAGCTCGGTCACGTCTCCCGGCCCCACCCCGCTGTCACACCCACAAGTCGCCCAGAGCCCGACACTCGCACGCGGCAGCCACGCGCAACGCGGACGCTACCCCCGCTTTCCTGACTCCGCCCCTTCTTTGGGGGCCTCGCTGGATCCTGCACTCCGAGGCCTTTGTCCTCCCTCCCGGCTCACCGGCCTGTGTCCGAGGCGGAAGCTGCAGCAAGGCCAAGAGCAGGCAGAGGCCAGCCCGCGGCTGGCCCAGTCCCCGACGGCCCCCCATCCCGGCGGCGCCCACACGGAAGGTAGGGGACCGGCCGGGGCGGCGGCAGGGAGTGGCGACTCCACGGGCTCGGCGCACGCACTCGCGCATTCGCGGCAGCCAGCTCCACTCGGGATCGACAGAAGACTGCTGGAGACCCCGCCCTGGCCTCGCCCTGCGCTCCCGCGCCGGGCCAGGCGGGCCTCCCGGGAAGGGGGCTGGCTGACAGCTGGTGGGGGGAGTTTGGGAAAGTTTGTGCTGAGCGCTGATTGGCCAGCTCGCGTGGAGCCCTGGGCCGGCGCTGGGCCCTTCTGGCCCCACCCCACGCTGGAGGAGGAGGGTCACTCTCACCCAGCCTTAGAATTTGGGGTCCCAGTCTTACCCCAAGCCCTTTTCTCCTAATTAGTCCCCCTCAAAGGAGATCTTAGCCTCATTCAAACCGCAGCCTCCACCCAGGCCCTAGTATCAGGGGCACAGCTTTATTCCAAAGTCCTTCCGTGCCACCCAGGGCCCCTCAGTGGGACCTGAGCCTCACACCCAACTCCTGACGACCTGCCTTACCCGGACCGCTGAGCCCCGCAGAAGAGGTACTGCCTCACCCCAGCACTTTCCCTGCAGGCCCTTAAGTAAGGGCTCCTCTTCCTACCTCAAACCTCACCCCAGATTCCAAAATGAAGTTCCCAGACGTGCCCCAAACCTTCATTTATCCACCCAAATTCCAGAATTGGACGTCTGGCCCCATCCCCAACCCTCACCACAGACTCCCAAGCACCAGTCTTGACTTCCCCCAAACTCTTAATCTTCAAATAGAAGGTCCCCAACTCCATCCCTAGCCCTCCTCTCCCCAACTCAGTCCCCAAATGGACCCCGTATCCCCAATCCCAAACCTTCACGCCATTAGATGGGGAAGTCTGGCTCTGCCCCAATGCAGGGTACTGCCACAGGGAGGAGCAGCTCCCTGCCACTTCTGGAGTGAGGCAGGGGCCCCCTCATGCTACTGGGACCCCCCAGTGTGAAGAGGCCCCCAGGGCATCAGGTGGAGCTGTTTGTGCAATAGAACAGGAGCAGACATGTGGGATCGGAGAAAGCTTCCACAGGGAGGAACCCAAGGGGTGTATCCTGGGCCCTGACCTACCCCCCCACCACACAGAGGGAGAAACCAGCAGTGCCTCCCTCCCAGCCTCTGGCTGCTCTGCTCAGACAAAGAGTCTGTGTGTCCCTGGAGAGGAGGGGGCGGGGCCCCATCTGGCCTGAAGGGGAGATGGGGGCTCCCATTGTGGGGGGAGCAGAGGGATCCTCCCCAAGCTGTTTCTCCTCCCTCCCCAGGGACATCCAAGGCTGAGACCTCTCCAGCTGAAAGATTCTCATAACGCTTCTTCCCTGCCCTGCCTTGCTGGGAAGTTCCTCCTACATCTAATCCTGTCTTCTGACATTTCTGTGCACATTTAAAGGGACCTTTCTGGGACCACACTCTCTGTCGCTCTCTCTCTCTCTCTCTCTCTCTCTCTCTCTCTCTCTCTCTCCCTCCAGTCAAAGATCCTTTGCCCAGAATAGAGACAGCAAGCGTATGCCCCCGCTAATTCCTCGGGACCCCTGAAACTACTCCCAGCCCCGAATAATTTACAGTCATAGTAAAAAGCCCCCAGTTATAAGTGTAGCAGTGGGAAGACATTTTTGACAGGTAAAAGAAAGGGGGTGTATTGGGGTTAAGGAATTCCCCCCACCAGCTGCCTCCCCTGGGTCAGTTCAGAATCAGGGGTTTGAGGGGGCCTTTCACCATGCAGGGGATCTGTTTTGAGGATGTTCAGGATGACAGGTGGCCGAAGTCAGGTGCTGGCCAGCAGAGGTCATGCATCCAGGGAGGGATGAACATGGCTGATCCTCCCCGCACTGTACTGATCTCAGGCTGCTCGTCAGGAATTGGCCTGCAGCTCGCGGTGCAGCTGGCTCGTGACCCCAGGCAGCGCTACCAGGGTAAGGGGCCCAGGGCAGGGGTGGGAGGGGCGGGGCTGGGCACAGCTTCCCGGACCTCAGCCCCCTTGGCACTATTTCCACCAGCCCTTTCCTTCCAGCTGCATTTGGGGGCTTGGGGAGGACCCAGGACAAGTGAAGACCCCTTCCCACCTCTCCTCTCGAATCATCCTCTCAGCCAATGAGTATTTCCTGAGAACCTACTGGGTGCTAAGCACAGTTCTAGGAGCTGGAAATGCAGCTGTGAACAAAACAGACCAAATCTCTGCCTTGATCAGAGGTGTAGTGGGGGAGGGGAGGGAGGACAGACAATACACAGATTCAAATGTTTATATGTCTAGTGCTAAGAAGTGCTAAGAAGCAAAATAAAGCAAGGGCAACATGGGGGGGGGCAGTGATAGTTTTAGGAGGGCTGGTGAAGGAGATTTCACTCAGGTATTCCCCAGGACTCCCCTCCTCCACACCTCCCCAGATGACTGCTCCAAGATAAGCCTCTTAAGTGAATCTGACCTTGGGGGTTCCAGAGGTCCTCTAGGCCTAGGGACTTGGACTTCAGCAATTCTCGAGTCAGTTGCCCCAGTCTGCACCCCACCCACGGAGACCTCTGACCCAGAGCAGGCTGTAGTCAAAGTGGACAAAGGGCTGTTGCTTAAGGGGGTGGGGGGAAGGGCATTGTCCCAGTTGGCAGAGCTGCTTCTCCCAGCCCTCTGCCCTAAGTCTCAGACACATGCACAGCTTTGAATGCGACAGCCTGGGTGCCAGCATGCAGGAAAGGCACTGTGCTCTGTGTCTCTGTGGCAAGCAGATGAGTGTGTGAAACTGCTAAAGGGTGATGTTCATTGAGTGCTTACAATGTCCCAGGCTAAGTGTTTTGCATCTAGTTAGATATTTAATCCCCACATCACCCTTATGAGGTGGCTGCTATCATTTGCCCAATCTTAGAAATGAGGAAATTGAAGAACAAATTGCCAAAAGTTCTTGCTCAATGTTGCCCAGCTAGAAAGTGGCAGAGCCTGAATTCAAACCCAGGCAGCCCAGTCCCTGAGCCCACACTTGTCACTATATTGCGTGTGGATGCACCCATGAATCACAGAGGCCCACGGGCATATGTAAATGCCCACTAGGAGCACACGTGTGTGATTCTGGTGCGTGTATGAGGGGGTACAACATATTATATAGGTATGTGAGCTCAGCACTCTGATAAGCCCAGGTTCAAATCTCACTTCTAACATTAGCTAGGGTTGGGACAGACCAGGACTGTCACACCGTTGGGCCTTAGTTTGTTCATCTGTGTGATGGGGATAACTTTTTCCACCCATCTGGTTATCCTTGCTAAGCAAATCACCCTCAAAATCTGTGCTGTAAAACACTGTACTCACTTACCTCACAGTTTGCAAAGGCCATGAATTCGCAAGGGTTCACCTGGGCGGTTCTGATTCAGGGTCAAAGGATAGAAGTAGAACAGAGGAGTCTGGAACAAGCACCTCTCTCCCTTTCAGTAACCTCAGGGTGTCTCCATAGGGCCTCCCTATCTGGGCTAGCTTGAGTTTCCCCCAGTACAGTGGCCTCAGGACAACGGGGCTGCTACAGGGTGGCTGAAGTCATCAAGAGTGAGCATTCCAGCAGCAAGCCAGAAAAAGCAGCACCTTTTCTGGCCCAATCTCAGAAGCCACACATCATTTGCACCATATTTCATTATGGTGCCTAGCAAACCACAAGATTCAAAGAGGGGGGGAAGAGATTTCATGTTTTGGTGGGGGAGCATCAAAGTTCTAGAAGAATATATGCAATGAAAGATACCTGGGAAATAAGACAATGACCTAGTCACAGAGTTCTAACAGTGTTTACAGTTTCTGGCACATAGTAGTTGTTCAATAAGTTGGAACTTATGTTGATGGTGTCAATGTGCCTGTTCATACTTGCATGTACACATAGCACATATGTCGACCCTAGGTGTACATGCATTTCTTTTCTCAAGACAATCTGTTTTGTATTTATTGTATTGTCTGACATACTAGACTGTGAATTCCAGGAAGGCATGGGCTTTATCCTATTTTATGCAGTAGCTTCAGCACCTAGAATAGGGCTGGTGTGTGCTGGCTGCTCAGCAAACACGTGGGATGGGTGGATGGAAAAACATGTAAAGGTGGGTACACAAGTGTGCATTTGTGGGTGTGTGGTGAGTGTAGGTGTGTAAACCTGTGGGTCTCCATCCTTCTGTGGTGGCTCATGGAAGATCACAGAGGCGTGCAAGTCCATACACGGGGGAAAGGAGCCTGGGCCTGCCCCAACTGCTCTCTGTCCCCAGTGGTGGCCACCATGAGAGACCTGGGGAAGAAGGGGACACTGGAGGAAGCTGCCGGGGAGGCTCTGGGTCAGACCCTCACTGTGGCTCAACTGGACGTGTGCAGCGACGAGTCAGTAGCCCAGTGTCTCAGCTGCATCCGGGGAGGAGAAGTGGACGTGCTGGGTGAGAAGTCCCTGGGATCACTCGCCCCGCCCTGGCCTGAGCACAGATCCTCACCCCAGCAAGGCTCTCCAATGCGTGGGCACCAGCATCCTCTCACCCTGAACAGAGGGGTAGACTAATTGGCCAAGAGCCCACGGTACCAATCAGTGTTGGGGGGATACAACAAATAAACTGAAACCTGGGGTTGGGGGGACTTTATGGAAGAAAACTTCTCACATATGGAGAAAATCATATGTGGTTGGGAAAATTATTTTGATGAGTCATTTGGGGAAGGGAGCATGATGGAGAAAAAACTCATGGTTCCTTAACAACCTTCTAAGGAGGGTGGTTGTTGATGTTTTGCTGCAATTTGGGGTCAGAGCTGAATTGCTCATGCATTAAAGGGGAGGTTGTTCCCAGTAGCCCTTCCCCCCACCCAGGCTAAGTGTCCCCTATAACAAATGTTGAATTATTTGTAAAGATCATCAAGGCTCCACATTCGTCCACCCAAGATACCCTGAACTGACCCTGGATTTTGAGCGAGTGGGTAGAGTAATTCAGGGAGTGTCCCTGGAGGAGTGACACTAGAGGGGACTTCGAAGTAACCCTCAGCACCCCCCCCCCTTAGTGAATAATGCTGGAGTGGGCCTGGTGGGGCCCCTGGAGGAGCTCAGCCTCACTAGCATGCAGAAAGTCTTTGACACCAACTTTTTCGGAGCTGTTCGTCTGGTCAAAGCTGTGCTTCCTGGCATGAAGAGAAGGCGACAGGGCCACATCGTGGTGGTCAGCAGTGTCATGGGGCTGCAGGGTAAGCTCTGGACACCCACCCTGAGGATCCTCACAGTGTCTGACCCTCCCCAGCTAGATGGCAAATAGGTTTTAGTTCATGTTGCAAATGAGCCTGTGTTGAGAAGGATCCTGAAGCTTGGAAGGGAAAGTTCTGGGATAGATTAATTCTGTCTGCCATGGTGCAGAAATGGACAGTTGTGGATAGATGCTGCCAATGGCCATCTACATCCCAGAATCAACCCCACTTCTGAACACCTCCAAAAACCTCTCCCAACCATTCCCCCCCCCAAAAAAAAATATCAGAACTCCTTCTCCTCAGACTCTTCCTTGAGAAACACTCACCACCAGGCCCCAGAGATGTCTAGATTTGGGATTCTGAAGTTCCTTAGCAAAGGGAGCAGCAGTTGACTAGTGATGTCTGCCATGGGCCCACTATGGAAGCCACCTACCTGCCATCCATGCTCTTGGGTCTCTCCTCCTTGAACCCCTCGAGACTCCCTTGCTCCCCTGGACATTTCCTCAGATCTGGCCCCTCCCCAGCTGTCCCCTAAGGAACCCGCCCTATTTATTATCCTGCCACAGAGAAGGTACGTTTACTTCGCTCATCCCTTTGGCCCCTCACCCAGACACATTCACTGCTCAACGGGACTGATAAGGACAGCTGAACAGGGTTGTCCTTAGGGGCTCTGGGGACCCCTAGACCCAAGTGGCTCCCAGGAGTTTAGTGGGTAAAAGGAAGTCGGGGAGTTTCCTGGGCTGAGGGCAGACAGAGTGCTGCGGGAAGAAGGGGGGCCTGGCACCCCAGACAACCTCATCCTGACCCCCATGCTTCCATCACACGGTCGCGCGGCACCCAGCACGCTGGCCCCAGACAGCTCCCCATTCCAGTCCTCAAACCCCCTTGGTTCTGTCGCCCAAAGACCACCTCTCCCTCTGGACCCACAAACCCAGGCCCCCAAAGAGTCCACCTTCCTCCAATCCTCTCAGGTGTCGTGTTCAATGACGTCTATGCAGCCTCCAAGTTCGCCCTGGAAGGATTCTTCGAGAGTCTGGCGGTCCAGCTGCTCCAGTTCGACATCTTGTGAGGCTGGCGCTGGGCAGGGGTGGGGGGTGGAGACAGGGAGCGGGGGATGCAGGCGGCGATGGGGCGGACAAGGAAACGGGGGTGACGGAGGCGATGGGGGGAACAGGGAGGGATGAAATAATGACGCGGAAATGGGGGCTGAAGAGGAAAGAGGGGCAGTGGTGAGGAAAGTGGAGCGTGAGTGTGCTGGGGCACCAGGCTCGGCACCCCTGTCCCTGTTCCCAGCGTCTCCCTGGTGGAACCCGGTCCAGTGGCCACCGACTTCGAAGGGAAGCTCCTGGAGCAGGTGTCCACAGCCGGGCTCCCCGGCGCCGACGCTGACACCCTGCACTGCTTCCGGGATCTCTACCTCCCTGCTTCCAGAGAGCTCTCTCGCTCCCTCGGGCAGAGCCCCGAGGACGTGGCCCAGGTGAGTGGGGGCTCAGAGCCCCGAGATACGGCTTAGGTGTGCAGCGGGCCCTCCCCACAGAACTCCGGTCCCTGGGTCCCCGGGCTCAGGGCTCCACCCCACAGGTTATTGTCAAGGTCATCAGCTCGGCCAGCCCGCCCCTGCGCAGACAGACCAACGCCCGCTACTCTGCCCTGACTGCGCTCAAAGCCGCGGACCCCTCCGGCAGCCTGTACGTGCGAACCGCCCACCGCCTGCTCTTTCGCTGGCCACGCCTCCTCGGCCTCGGCCTCCGCTGCCTGGCCTGCGGCTGCCTCCGCGCTCGGGTTTGGCCCCGGTGAGCCTGACCCACCCCTCCTCACTACCGAACAGCCAGACCTCTTCAGTCCACACCCAGATCAGAGGTCATACAGACCATTCATTCATTCATTCATTCATTCATTCATTCATTCATTCATTCAGCAAATGCTGCCTGACCAGCTCTGTACCTGGGTGTTGCTCAGCCACCAGGCGCAGGCCCCTCCGTGGTCAGCACTGGGGCAGAGAGGAGGAAGGGGCATTGCCATGGACACTGAAGGGTGAGACAGACGGTCCCTTGGGCCTGGGAATACAGGAATGATCCAAACACGTCCACCCCCACCCACCCCCGCCCATGCACAGAGCCGGGTTGACCGGGGGTCTCCAGACCTCTCTGGTCACACACGCTCCGTCACAAGACGCGCATGTGCTCACACATGCACACATTTTTCATAAAATGTAGATTTGTAACCACTAACAGTAGCTACATTAAATATTTCACAAAGCTGGTAAGAATGTAAAACAGCGCCACGTCTATGAAAAACGTTATGAAAACCGACACGGAATTATATGATCCAGCATTCATTTCTGGGTGTCATCCGAAAGAATTAAAACCAGAATCTCCAAGAGATATCTGCACACCAATGTGCATAGCAGCACGGTTCAAGCCAGCCACTCAAGTGTCCATCAGTGCAAGAACGGGAGAACAAAACATGGCTCATCCAGACAGTCAAGTGTTATTCAAACTCAAAAAGAAAGGAAGTTCCGACACATGCTATGCCATGGATGAACCTTGAGGACATTATGCTCAGTGAAATAAGCCCATCACAAAGAGGCAAATACTGTGTGATTCGATTTATATGAGTGTCCCTAGAGTAAGCAATTTCATAGAGATATAAAGTAGAATGGTGGGGGCCAGGGGCTGGAGACAGAGCTATGGGGAGTGAGTGTTTAATGGGAAAGAATTTCAATTTTGCAAGCTGAAGAATTCTGGAGATAAATGGTGGTGACATTTACATGACAATGTGGATGTACTAAACACTAATGAACTGGACATTTAAAAATGTTAAGATGGTGCCCTGGCTGGTGTGGCTCAGTGAATTGAGCATGGGTCTGCAAACCAAAGGGTCAGTGATTAGATTCCCAGTCAGGGCACATGCCTGGGTTTTGGGCCACGTCTCCTGTGTGGGGCACACGAGAGGCAACCACACATCAGTGTTTCTCTCCCTCTCTTTCTCTTTCCCTTCCCCTCACTCTAAAAAATAAATAAATAAAAATCTTTTTAAAATGTTAAGATGGTAAACTTTGTGTTATGCATATTTTTACCACAATTAAAGTTACTTAAAAATTGCCCTGGCTGGTATGGCTCAGTGGTTGAGTGCCGGCCTGCAAATGAAAGGGTCGTGGGTTCAATTCCCAGTCAAGGCACATACCTGGGTTTCAGGTCACGTCCCCAGTGGGGGAGTGTGTGAGAGGTAACAACACACTGATGTTTCTCTCCCTCTCTTTCTCCCTCCCTTCCCCTCTGTCTATAAATAAATGAAATCTTAAAAAATAAATAACAGGGTTCCCACCTGAGCCCTCAACATATTGTCCCCAAGTTTCTCAGCCCCCCTCAGGAGAACTTGGAAGCAAATGGAATCTGGGTGTACATGCTGACTCTGCCTCCTTCTCACTGGGTTACCCTGGGTAGGTGACTCCTCTGGCGTCACCTTCCATGAAGCAGGGTTAGCGATGACAGTGCTGAAACAATAGAAAAGTCCCCTGCACTGTTACACCCCATTTGGAGTTTTTGTTGTGGTTCAGGATCAAAATTCCACCTTGGAATGCCAGCCTTCAGGAAAAGTTTTTTTTGTAATTCATGTTCAGTCTGCAGCCTTATGAGATGGAGACACTCAGAGCCTCCCCAGCTCATAGCTGAAGAAGCCAAGGTTGCTGGGACAGAGGAGAGGGGCAAGAATCCAGTCTAAGGCTGTCCAGCTCGGTGTGCACCAGTCTCCAGGGCTCTCCAGTGACCTAGGAAAACAAAAACTGAGTCTGGGGCCCTCGGAAGAGATTTGTTTGGGACATAATGGGGGCTACTTGGTATCTTTTGTCAAATTAACCTTCCCCTCCCTTTCCCTCTGTTGGACTTTTGCAGTGATATTGGAATACTTGCAGAAGAACATATGAAAGCAGGTGATGGTGGCAGTTGTGACAGTCACACGAAGTCGTGAACATGCCAACCCCCACTGAACCGTGCACTTTAAAATGGCAAATTGCATGGCACATGAACTACAACTCAATTTAGAAATTAAGTTAATGTTTTAAAAGAACATATGAAGCACACATATGCAGGAGGTCATTGAGTTGCCCCAGGAGGCCCACCCAAGGGTCACATCAACAACGTTCCTCTCAGTTGAGTTGGGTTCTGCCAACAGGAGGCATCGGTGGGAGATTAGCTGTGGGAAGAGAAAGGCCTGAGTACTTACCCCCCTGAAATGCTGCCCTGCAGCCCCACTTTGCTCCTTTCCATCTTCCAAGGCTGGTGATTGCATGAGCCCCCAGTGTCCACCTGATAAATGCCTGTGCAGCTTAAATTGCCCCGAGTCAGTTTCTGATGCATTTAAGGAAGAATCACCACCAATACACATGGCAACTATAAAAATAAATGCAGTGGGGGCCTGTTGTTAAATCTAGCTGGATGCTATTGCTCTGTTCTTATTTACCGCAGAGACCAGCCAGGATTGGCAGGAATTCAAAAGGTGTTCAGGACACTCTAACACTTGCCTCTTAATTTCAGCCCTCATACCCCACACCCCTGTCTTCCTCTTCTCAACAAATACAAGTCCATTCCTCTACAGGAGCGTCCAGCCTGCAGCCCACAGGCCGCGTGCGGCTCAGGATGGCTATGAACGCAGCCCAACACAAAATCGTGCATTTACTTAAAATGTTATGAGATTTTTTTTATGACTACATGCCTCAGTGTACTTAAAGTGTGGTGCAAAACAATTCTTCTTCTTCCACTGTGCCCCAGAGATGCCAAAAGGTTGGACACCCCTGCTAGAGGCTCAGGCCAAAAATCTTGGAGTCATCTCTAGCTCCTCTCCATCACACCTCACAGCCAACACATCAGGAGATCTTGCTCATTTGGCCTGCACAATGTATTCAGAACCAACCACTTCACCACACCTTCTCAGCCTCGGCACTGGTCCAGACGCCGTCATTTCTCACCTGCAGTATCGCACTAGCCCCCATCCCCTCCCCCCTCCTGCATTTGCCCCCCACAATCCAGTCTCCATGTCATAGCCCAGAGAATCCTTAAAAAACATCGTTTGAGTACTTAAAATGTTCACAATGTTTTTTAAAAAAATAATTAAAAGATATTTTACAATTCTATTCTCAACTGCCCAATTCCTGATCCCCCATCCCTGCCTGTTATAACTTGCTGGAGTTATCTATTCAGATTTTCCTTCTCATTGTGCAAGAAAAAACTAATGGATGGATAAAATGTGGTGTGTGCACACAGGCAAAGGAACGCCATTCAGCCTTTAAAAGAAAGGACATTCTAACCCCTGCTACAACATGGATGAACATTGAGGACGCTATGCTCAGTGAGAGAAGCCAGACACAGAAGGACAAACGCTAAGGGATCCCACTCACAGGAGGTCCCTGGAGGAGTCAGATCCACAGAGACAGGAAGTAGATGGTGGGAGTCAGGGGCTGGGGGAGGGGGTGGGAGTCAGTGTGTAATAGGGCAGAGGTCCAGTTTGGCAAGGTGAGAAGGTTCTAGGGATGGGTGGTGCCGTGTCTGCACAGCAATGTGAGTGGACTTAATGCCAACAAACTGCACATTCAGGAATGGTTAAAACAAGAGATTTTACATAGTGTATAGTTTATCATAATCTTTAAAATACATATTTTAATGGAAAACCTGAATACATACTTTTTTACTTTTTCACAAAAAGCAGCACGCCATGCACACCAGTGTGAACCACATGGCTCCCTGCTGCACCTCTTCTAGGTGCTCACACGTCACCATCCCAGAGAGGTCCTCCCTGATCACCACAAGATAGTACCATCACTCTGTCCCCTTAAACTGCTTTATTTCTCGTCACGGACATATACCACAGTTGTATACTACAGTCTGCCTCTTGCCCAACTCCACCCCCCAGAACATCAACTTCAGAGGGAAGAGATTGTTGTCTGCCTGCTCAGCGCCGTCCCCAGACCCTACAACAGTGGGTGGCTCATGCAGACACCCCAACATCTGATAAGTGAATGAATGGGTGGGTAAATCAATGCACTAAAATGAGACTCTCCTTGACCTACTAAGAAGGACTTAAAGATCTCTTTCTGCTCCTCACACCACCATGCTCCATCTTCCTTCCAGGTCTTTGCACAGGCTTCTCTCCCCAACAAACAAAACTGCCTTTTCTCTCCTACCCCTGACTCTTCACAGGATTACTCGTACTCCACTAAGACTTCCAGGTCTCCGCTTTCCTTCGACTTCCTTCGGGAAGCTTTCCTGGACTCCACAGGCTGGCGGGGTTGGGAGGCTCCTCTGGGCCTTCACTCCTACGTATTCATGGGTAGTTCCCTTTGATCAGGCAGTGCGCCCTGGTGGGCAGATATCGCTGTAATTCCACGGTTAGGCCACTTCCTGAAGCCTTTGGGAAACAAGTCGGGTGATCAGAAGTCCTCGGGAACCCAGAAATGACCGGAAGAGCCTGAGCTGGGACTGGAAGTGACTAAGCTGAGCGCCTCCAAGCTAAGAGGATCTTTACCCCTCCTACTTGAGCCAGAAAGAGCACTTCTCTGAGCCTCAGTTTCCTTATCTGTAAAATAGAGGCTTTGCTGGAGAGAAAGTCCCTACTAGGTGCCAGAACTTAGTAACTGTTTCAAAAGTAACAGCCTTTCGTGTTATTCCTTGCCTCCTGGGTCCAGCCCGGCCTTTCCCGGGAAGTCTGGGCTGGAATCCCGGGGAAGGGGGGCGGGGGAGGAGAGGGAAGAGGGGGAGGAAAGGGAAGAGGGAGGGAAGAGAGGGCGGAGGGGGAGGAGAAAGAGGAGGAGGAAAAAACAGCGGCCATGCATCCCTGCAAGGTCGTTCCTCCTGCCCAGCCTCGGCCTCGGCCTTCTTGCTACCAACCTGTGGTTCCAGGCTCACGAAAGCTGGCGGAATCTGAGTGGCAGCAGCAGCTGCTCTAGGCTTGTGTCCAAGGTACCCGCCCTGCGCCAGGCATTCCTGCGGGAGGAGGCCTAGCAGCTACTCCGCTTGTGGCTCGAGGTTGGCTGGCGCCCTCTCGTGGCCAAGAGAGAGAGACTGGCTTTGACCATTAGCGGGAGTGGACTGGGTGGAGCCCGCAGCTACTTTTCCCCACCTCTTACCCTCCTCCCGCTCCCTCTAATAGAGCTGGGAAAGTCACTTAAGCCCCCTGTGCCTCAGTTTCCTAGCTGCAGAATTTGTATCAGGACATTTCACCTTCCAGTGCCTGGATTTTCTCATCAGCAAAATGGGTCCGTGGGTTATTAAATTACTGAGAGGATTAAAAGAGACTGTACCGTCCTGGTGGGCGTGGTACAGTAAATGCCCACTGTAAACGGGTTTCTGTCCTGTTCACTGCTCTGTTCCCAGGGCCTACAACAAGACCGGACACACAGTAGGTTCCCGATGTACAATAACTGAACAAATGCTTATTCTTCTTTGGGGGGACCTGGGGTTGGGGTGGGGTACAGGGACAGATGCGTGAGATTGTGAGTTCCTGCTGTCACTCATTCACCCAATTCCCATTTTTGCCACCCATTCGTTCGTTGGATGGCAAGGTCGCATCCCAAAAGATGCCCCCCACCCCCGTTTGCTTTCAGCGTGTTTTCCTGTCTCCTTTGCTGTTCATCAGCACCCGAGGGCAGTTCTTCCCTTCCTGTGGGGCAGGTCAAATGGAAATTCAAGGCAGCCACAGGCCTGAGCATGCCCCACAAACAGCTCAGAGGCGCCCACCTGGCAAAGATCCCCACTCAGAAGACAGGACCCGGGCCCTGCTAGAGGGAGCCCAGCCTGGAGACGAAGGCGGGAGGGACTGAGGAGAGAGCTTCTGCACCTCTCGCCTTTGGACAGCACCCCATCCTGGACCCCTGGGAGCTCCTGGGACAGAGGAGGGGGCACATGGACACCTGGTGTGGGGCAAAGAAGTGTAAGGGAGAGCTCACTCCAGCCAAGGGAGAGCTGAACAGAACTGGTAGACATTCTCCGAGAGCCTGAAATGGCAGTCGAACACACCAAATGAACACCAAAGTTCTAGAACCTTCTAAATTAGGTGTCACCTGCAGTCCAGGCCTTAAACTGATTATGTTGATTCTTTGCTTCATAAGAGATTGTTTACCATAGACTAAAGTGCATTACTCATCTTCCCAGCTCATCTGCATGCCACAGGGCAAGAGGCTCACCTTCCTGGGGCCCCAGTTCCTTATCTTTACAGTCTCAGTGCTAAATTTTTACTTCAGCATGGCTGTGAGACATCACAACTAGTCACAGAGCATTTAAAAGCGTCTGGTACATGGTAGGTGCTCAATAAACACCTGAGGAATAAACGACTAGATGCTACCTGCCCCCTTTGTTTCTAACACACCTGGGTTTCTAGTGCTCTGCAGAGAGAGTATGGAAAGTCAGTATGCATTGAACCTAATTCACAGAAAGCTGAGGTTTAAGGAGAAAATGCACCTGGGAACCTTAGTAAATTTTGTCACTGTGCTCTCCACGTAGGGAGGGATATTTTATCTATTGTGGTCACTGCTGCATCCACAGCATGCTGAATAAGGCTGGGCTCCTAGCAAAGATTTAGTGAGTCTGCCCTGGCTGGCGTAGCTCCGTGGATTGAGCTTGGGCTGCAAACCAAAGTATCACAGGTTTGATTCCCAGCCAGGGCACATGCCTGGGTTGCAGGCTATGGCCCCCAGCAACCGCACATTGATGTTTCTCTCTCTCTATCTATCTCCCTCCCTTCCCTCTCTAAAAATAAATAAATAAATAAAAAGATTTAGTGAGTTTCTGCTGGGTAAAGGTACATTGTCAATGTTTGGGGAGACCTGGGGCAAGACTCCCCAAGCTAGTTGTACTGACCTCACAGAAGAAAGAGAAAACAGACCAACTTGTCTGTAGCTGCACCGGCTTCTAAAAGGCAGAAACCACGAAGTGGGTTCAACATCTTTAATGAGCATGTTAAACAGCCAGAGATAATTATTTCAGAACAGAGAAAGCTTTCTTCCAGGAATGCCTCCAGTGTGATGTGTTTTCCTCCCTGGTTTAATATGTATAATTTGCCTTTGGAAAAGGAGCCCAGAGAGTTTGGCATGAGGTAAGGACAATGGACAATGGCCACAGTTGACCAAGTATAATCGTCTCCTGCAAGGAAGGAGAAAACCACGCAGCAAGTGCTGGGTGCAGGAAGGTCAAGAGCAAAAGGGCCTGACCCGAGCATTTCTTGGGTCCTGATATGGCAGGGCCTGGGGCCAGGCGGCCACGTGGCTGCTCAGGCTGTGATTGAGAAAGGAATGCCTTGTGGCAGCGCTGCTTCCACAGCTCGCGCCAGTTTCACCAGGGCAGGGGCAGGGCTCCTGTTTCCTCCTACTCCTTTCTGACCCATCCCCACCAAACCCCCAGTCCAGTGCCCTGGTCCACATGGCCCAGGCTCCTTGCTGTGCAAGGGGACAGCTTCAGGATAAGACCCCATGGTTCATGGAAAGGACACCAACCCCCTGCAACTCTGGCCTCCAAATGGGGAGCTGGAACATTTCTCAATGCAACTAGCCCCAGCCCCCCAGGGCAGGCCTGCCTGTCCGACAAGGGAGGAGCAGCCCTCTCCACTCCCGTTGGGTTCATGGGGACTCCCTCCCCATGCCCGTTTAGATATTAACTCGGCCAGGACAGGCCAAGGCAAACACACCAGAGCTGGGGTGGACAAGAGAACAGCAACTGTGACCAGCAGCCCCACACCTCCCTCTGGCTGCCATGGATGTGCCCTGGTCCCTGGGCTTGATTCTGTTCCTGTTGGGGATGCCCCTCACCCACGCTAAGCCACTGTGAGTGTGGGGAGCTGGGGGGAATCTGCCGACTGCCTACACACCTGTCGTCTTCGTGACTCCCTGAATAGGACCCTGTTTGTCTCTGCTGCCGCCTCCCCCACTGGAGTCCCCTGTGTTTGTCTGCTGGCAGGTATATCCTGGTGACCCCCCGAGTCCTGCGGGTCGGCAGCCCAGAGACCATCCACGTGCAGGCTCACTCGGACTCCAGCCAGCAGCTCAGCGGGACTCTTCAGGTGAACCTCACTGTGTGGGACTTCCCCATGAAGAAGACGACGGTGGCTAGGAGCCAGCTCACTCTCTCATCGGAAAACCACTTTATGGATCAGACATCCGTGATGGTAGGTGACAGGCCACCAAGGGAGGCTCTGGGCCAGCAGCAAGAGTAGAGAGGGGAAGATTCTAGAGGAACTTCCTACAGGAGACACTAGGGAATACATGCAGGGCTTAGATATACTTAGTGCTTCTCTAGTGTTCTGTCCATCTGGAAATCCAAAATCTCCCTTAGTCTGGGCTCCAAGAAGGGCCATGATTAGCCTATATGCTACCTCTGTGCTGATTAACAAAAGACGCCCTCTGCTGGTGGCTTGGAAAGCTGAGCATGGGCTGCATTGCATCTCCACTTGGCTGAAGGTCTTTGTGCAGCAGCCAACTGCACAGCCACACAGGGCCACCCAGCTCCCAGAGACAGAGGGCCCCCATTCAATTGCTTCTCCCAAGATCCACTGCAGCACTCTGCATCCAGGGATGGAAACCCCAGCAGGGCCTGAGCACCGGCGGCATCTCTCCCCAGATCCCCGAGAGCCTGGTGTTCCCCACACGTCCAGGACAGCAGTATGTCATCATCCAGGCAGCCTGGGCCCCCACCTCCACATCTTCATTCATGGAGAAGGTGGTGCTGGTGGCTCCCCATGCTGGCTACATCTTCATCCAGACAGACAAGACCATCTACACCCCTGAGCACTTCGGTACAGCCACTGGGCATTTGGCCTGGGGCAGGCGTTGACTCACCCCGAGGCTCCCCCAGTACCCAACATACTCCACCTGCCAAGATGTCCCTGCTGCCCAGGACCATAGTGACCACCCCTCTCCAAACTCCATCCAACTTAGTTGCCCCTTCTCTCCCAGTTCAGTACCGGGTGTTCACTCTGAACCACGGGATGGATCCTGTGACCAGGACATTCACTCTGGACATCAAGGTGGCCTCTCCTGTTGGCAGGGCGGATCCTGGATACTGGGGTTGTGTTACGTGCTGCAGGCCTGCGGGCATAACCCACCTACCTGTCCCCGCAGAACCCAGAAGGGATCACTGTGACCAGCCAGGACCTGATAGCCAAGGAAGGTTTCTTCTCAAGCTCCTTCCACCTCCCAGAGCTCATCAGGTGCCCTGCTGGGAGCCCTGGGACGGAGGGAGGGAGGGTCTCCTCAGCCTCCATCTTCCTAACTTTCCGGCCTCAGTTTTGGGACCTGGAGCATCGAAGCCAGTTACCACAGTGCGGCCAAACAGAAGTTCAAGGCAGCCTTTGAGGTGAAGGAGTATGGTGAGCACAGTGTGACGAGGAGGGTAAGGTGGGACATGCTAGAAGCAGGGCTAGAGATGTGAAGGAGGTCTTGTGGCACACCTACTGCGTGCAGGGCCTGAGCTGGCTGCTGGTGAGCAGGACCGTGTGTTCCCTTTCCTGGGGGTTGCCAGAGTCAGCAGGGAGGGAGCAGGACAGGAAGGGGATGGGGGGAGGACAGTGATCTATGGGGGGTGTCCACTGCCTTTCCTCCACCCAGTGCTCCCATCTTTTGACGTCCGGCTGATTCCAAAAAAGAACTTCTTCTACCTCAGTGATGAAGCTCTGAATGTGGAAATCAAGGCCTGGTGAGTCCCCGTACCCTTAGTCTGGCCACAGGGCCAAGGACACCAAGAAACTGCAGGGTGGAGAGAAGCGAGCCACTTCTATAGCACAGAGGATATAATGAAGGCATCCTTCAACACCCAGGAGATAGCCTTGGTCACCACGTCTGCCCCTGTGAGGCTGCGCAGTCCATCCCTTCAGGCTTCCAGGGTTGCCCAAGCCACCTGGTCTACCTAATGGCCTGTGCCACCCATCCTGGTCTCGACCATCTCTGAAGGCCCACAAGGTTGTGCGGGCACCTCGGGCATCTGTG